CACACACACACACACACACACACACACACACACACACACACACACACCCTGCCCATGCCAGCCGCGGCTACAGTCACAGAGTAACAAATGTGTTTGGGCTTTCTTCCAGGCCCTTGGCCGGAGTGATGCATCTCTTAAAAGCTTCCGTTGTCAGGGACGTGCCACTCTTCAAACTCTCTCTTCTTCTATCTCAGTTGGTTTGCTGCTCTCTCTAATCACCACAGCATGTAGTGCCGGGTCCTCCTACTTACCAGACATTTCACATTCACTGCAACACACCAGGGCTGGAGATTAAAGAGGTGAAGAGAAATATGTTTTAGGACAATGAATGGCACCCGGCTGTGCATTTTCGTACTCACCTCAGTGCCACCCTGCTGCCCAATTTATGACTTTCTGGCCAATTTGTGTCACGACGTTACCAAATCGCATATTCCAGATCCGTTATCCAACATGTCCCTTGAAACACTCGCACAGAACAACTTCTGTTCAAACTGCATCTATTTAAATGTTACATCACTTGCTGAGCCGCGGGCAGGACATCTCAGAGACTCTGAGGCCTCGCACCACAGCAGCACGGTCACTCCTCATCCTCACACTGAAAACAACAGTGGATTTAAAGACAAGAAGAAGACCGGTGCCCAACACATATGTCCGTCACAATGATCATTTTTCCAGAGAGAACCACTTTGCCTCACCAATCACCCATCCAGCCTCTCAACACGACTGCACCGGAGCTTTGTTTGTTGTCGGGGCTGAGCTTTGAACCGGGGAGAATAGTGCGATGAATGAATAGTGAGGCTGACGGTGAACCACGAAATCAATACGAAAAGGAAGCGAGGGGAGTGTAGGTGAGGCCTCACCTGACAGAGAGGGTGAAATCCCCCGGATTGCTCTTGCTTGGCCGGGCCAGGAAACTGCCGTGGACGCCCCGGGTCAACAGGAGCTGCTCTGCCTCGATTCCGGTGATGTTGGGGTGGAACCACCTAAAAAAAGATTGGCCAAAATGATCCGTGTGTTTGTGTAGGAAGAATGTATACAATCTGTCTCCCATCACCCTCCATCTTTCTTTTCCTGTTGAGACTAAACCGGCCCCAACACAATAGATCTCCTGAGTTTAAAATAGTCATTTCTTTTGTTTCATGCCAGTTTTACAAATCTTGTATATTTTTTACCATTTATGTAAATAGCACACAGTACTATGTAAAGACCTGTAGGAGTGTTTTGACTTATTTTCATATGCAGCTGTCATGACGGATGAAATGTGTAATTTCACTTTCACTTTCATTTGTGTCGTGTAAAACTGGCTTTGCTTCAGTGTCGATGAAAACATTAGATTCATTGATAACAGCAGCTACTGCGATATAAATATAAATACTGTACAGAATAAATGCAGACAGAAGTATTTGGACGGTGACACTTTATTTGTTTGGCTTTGGACTCGAACTTTAAATGAAACAATTTAATTTGAGGTTGTTCACATTCATGTTGGGCCAACACTATAAGAAGCGTGTTCCCTTTTTATACAAGTCTTAGCTATATGCGAGTGCAGAACTTGTACAGCTCTAGGTCTGTTAAATGTTGCTGAATAACCTTAACTGGCCTTTGCATGTCAGGTTCACTGATTAGCTCGTTCTGAGACTTGACCTAGATTTTCAAGAGGGGTGGACAAAGAACAAACTGACAACTGAGATGACTTAGTGATGTCTCAGCCTTCTCGCCTTATGGCAGCTGCATATGATCAGCTCACAACGCTGGATTTTATTAACAGGGTCGATGTTTTTGCCCAAAGACTGAGGAAGAAAAATAGCTGATTTGCATTATTTAAGGAAATTTACTCTGCTGCTGTGTGTTTATGGCTGGTTTAGTCCTTTCTGCTTCATCATTTTCTTTGCTATAGAATCTCCATAATCTCATCATTTACCAAGAATCTAAAAGCAACTTTGATGTATAATGAATTATATCTCAGGCCTCACATCGGTTGCATGCTGTTGACACTTAAGAGTAAAATGTCATCAATAAATAAATGGAGTGCTCCTCAACAGCACTTTAGCATGAACTAATGTATGTTGAACGCCAGTCTGACTAACGCAGTACTTCAAAAGTGACTTGTGTGGAAAAAAGACAACTTTCAGCAGATCTAGGGCTGAATTGGAAGCAATGGCAACTGCTGAAAGTTATAGTTATAAGCTCTTATTGCTTTAGAATATCTGTAACCATGATTCCGGTGGTGCATTAGTACAAAGTGTACCTTTGAATCAAAGCACACGTCTGTTTCTTGACGAATCAGTGATTACATACAAACTGGTTTGAAAGGGAAGAACACTCAGGTTTACAGGACAGCAAAGCCAAAGCTAATGATGACACGTTACTTCCTCTGCTGCAAAACACAGCAAGCAGGCAAATATTTATCCCATCCACTTCTCAGGTATGTTGACCGATCATCTGGGTTGTGCACTCTTACTGTAGTGTTTGACACCGCCACTCATCCAAACCAGACCCAACCGTGTTCACTGTTCACAAACGCTTTAAGACATAAATCCAGCACATCTGCACACATACTGCAGTGTTCAGTTAAAAGCTGTGTTAAAAGAGAGAATAACTGCATAAGTGTTGAAGAAGCAGTGAGTAGGTATAGCGGCCCCAGTGAACGGCTGGATATCAGCTGTGTGGATTTAAAGCTCGTGTTTAAGCAGGGATCATTGGGTTAAACCTCCCTAACTACTGTGTGCCATTGCTGGCTAATCCGACGCACCATTAGCCATCCGAGGCCCCATCGGTGTGCCAAGGAAGGGGGTGACAAAGCTGTCACACGTACAGTATACAGTGAGCGGTAAAGGATTTTCACATTAGCATCACACTGACGTATTAAAGATAACTCTCTGGATCTACGCCAGCTGGTCGCTGCCAAGTTGTCTTGCTGGAGATCAGTGATGACGAAGCTGGACTGCAGAGACCAATCTGGCTCCTCCAGATCATCTTACACCGTGGTGTCATCACACTATGCTGTCCAACCAAGTTAGTTGAATTATTACGTTTTTAAAATCTCTCCTCAAGATGACTCGTTTTATTCTATTTAGGAGTTGTTTTTCCAAGTCAGCCTTGTAATAAGAACACGTTTTAGACACATGGAAGTAAACTCTACAGTAGAATTTATCATAGGCAGGTAGAGTACAACACAAGCATTTAGGAATATTATGAAAAGCTGTAGATTACTACAAATTCATAATCTCGATGGGATTATCATGGATGAAAAAAGTTTAAATAAAAATCATTTTAAAACATTATTTCTGATTTAAAAAAAAAAATGAAATAAAAAGTGTTGGATGAGATGAAGATGAGTCACCTGATAGATGTTTCAAACATAATAATAACCTTTAGTTGCAGCTCTTGACTTTTTCCTTGGAAAGACAAATGCATGTAAATGTCAATGATTCAACAAACTGTTTTTGGATTGCGACATACAGACCAAATGAGTCATGGAAATCGTGCATTTCACATCCTAAATCATAGCCTTTCACCAGCACCCCAGACACACTACAAAGGCTTATTATTGATTAATATAACCCAGCGGAGAGAGCAGGCAGATGGTGACACAATAGCGCCTTCATGAAGCCCATGCTGAGGAGATAATATCGGAAAGCTTCCAACAGTGGGCGAGCATTTAGGTGCTTTCTCTTCTCGTACGCGGTACGACACAAACCCATGACAGTGAGATAAAAATAAGACCCATGTGTCGGCTCAGCAGATCTTGTGTCACTTCAGAGCGGCGAATGCGGAGCAGAATACTGTCGTAGTCGCTGCCGGTGCAAAGGGCTGAATCTCACTTCATATTATGTGGCACGGTGCTTTCTATTAATGTCCTCAATAACTCATATAAACATAAATATTACCACTGTTTAATGAGGACATCTAAGCCTGGCGTGCTCATTGTCCAGCTCCTGTTTGTCAGAATGACTTCATTCAGATGAAATTAACTGTGAGCGACATTTACTATACGACTAAATTGGAAAAAGCTTGAAATTGCCTTTTGGAAATGTCAAGACATGTACTGCATGTCACTGCACTGCTGATGAAGCATCCGTCGCCATTTTGCATTCAACAGATGAATCAAAAGGGACACACGGCCTGCTTGTCAATCACTTGACCTGTTTCTATGACACGAGAGGAAACAGGAGACGAGTGAAAGAAGAGACGGGTGAAGCGAGAGACGGAGGCGCTGCATGAGAATCAGTAAGGGTGGTAAACGTGTGCCGGGGTTCGTACAGGAGGGAATGATACACGATACATATTAGAGTTTACACCAACGCAGAGCACTGCACGCTGTGGCCATCGAGGATCCTCTGTTGTTGGAGGTTAACCACGGGATTAGTTCAGCGTTAAATTAAATGCCAAATAGATAAATATCCGTCCAGCCATGCGTGAACAGAGAGTCTTGACTAGACCACAACAGACCAGACATCTGACCCAGACTGCCCCTGACCCCCTTATCCTCAGCAGGGGGGCAAACCCGATCTGTTGCGCTTTCTCTCATTCCACGATCCCAGAGAGCAGATTATAGGTGGAACTTTACAAATGATAAATACTAACCGATTACGAGGGGATTAGTCCTAAAAACATGTCAGAGCGGAGGGTGACTTGGACTGTTACAATGGAAATATCCCTGGAAGTCTGGCGGGGAGGCCTGGTGGAAATGACTTCACGGGGCGGAAAGAAAGCGTGAAAATGTATTGTACACAGTACTCAGATATGCGATACTGATGTATTTAACATTTATTTTATTAAACATATAACAAACAAACATTTTTGATAAGGATCAATACTGGGCTTCATATATAAAAGTGACTTCGCTGTTTAGAGAATTTACTTGGGATGCTTATTTAGATTAATGTTTTCCTGCCCGATAGCCCTCGTTAACCGATCTCTAACCGTTATCGGACACGATCAGTGCCTTGCTTGCACGAGTGCTGTGGTTGCTGTGGTGCCAACAAGCCATCAGGCATTTTGTCTTTCATTTGACTACATTTTTCCACTTGTCACAGCGCTTTTATTACAATCAAACTCAAACTGGCCTGAAGAGCCACTGACAAGTCATGGCTGTCAGCTGGTGGACAGATTGCTGGTGGTATTGTGTTTTTAAATCCTACACAGATTCGTACAGATAAATAATAGCAGTGAGGCAAAAATGCCTTATGTCACTAATCCATAACTAATCCCTCATCACAGCGCTGCTGTCACTCGTCACACATTCGAAACAGTGGAGACGGGCCGGAACCGGGCACAAACACTGGTGCAATGCTTCAAACACACAACGGCAGCAAGTACTGCCCCCCCCCCCCCCCCCCCCCCCCCAGAGTGTCTTTGCACGCAGACAGCTCTTTCAGCCTTCTTAACTAGAGCATACCCCGAGCCCCTTTGTAACCACACATCCTGAAACACCCACCTTAACAACAACACACACACACAAAGTACTGTGCATATGCACACACACACACACACACACACACACACACACACACACTTCTGCACGGCCAGGTCTCCACATGCACTCCAGAGCTTACTTCTGCACTGGATTGTGTGCATTCAATTTCAGCGAACTGCAGCGGGAGTTAAAAAGAAGTGTGAGGGCTGTTGAAAAGCAGACAAATACGCCGACGTCGGCTGGTCTCGCTTATGCCCCACCTCACCATTGTGGGTCGAAGCCTGCCACAGAACCCTCACTTCAGCAGCCTCAGATGTTGGTAACCCAGCACTGGGCACTGTTACACAAGAGAGGGCAGGAGGGAGCGAGGGAGATATAGAGACGTAAGGCGTAGAGAAGGGGGGTGGTGGTGGTGGGGGGGGGGGGGGGGGG